GCCCTAGCCAGTATTTTTTCCCCTTTTCCCAAAAAAGCTTATACTACTGTTTCAGCTATTAAAATAGTTCAGTTTTGTATGTAATGGAAAGTGATTATTTTTCATTTCGTTTTTTTTATATAGTTAATTTAGAAAAACGTTTGGAGCATTTTTTGTTCGTTAAATGTAAGTTGTTTTTTGTGTGTTTTTTTTTAAGTAAGGACCAAGCGGCCAGTGGCAGACAGTTAGTTGATCATAGCCTATGTTTGATCAATTTACCCTTTTCAAATCATCACGACTTGCCTAAAATAAAATCTATAGATATAAAACAGTTCAAGCATATCAAAATGTTAGTTTAAATGTTTAACCTAGATAAATGTGTGCTGTTAGACGCATATCCAATAGTTTGTGTGGAGAGTGGAAGCTGAAGCGCGCTCTGCAGGACATGGAGGCGCCAGCGCGATCACATTTTTTTCTAACAGTGGAAACAACTTAAAATACGCAATCATTTTTGCTCATAAAGGTAAGAGTAATTCATCATTCTAAACTGTAAAGGGTCTAGTTTTATTTGTGTGCACTCACAATTTCATAAAACAAACGCTTTCTGCCGTCTCGGTCTTGAGCAGGAGCACTTCACAATGATGAACCTAAACTCAGCGAATTGCCTCACAGACATGATAAAAATATATAGTAAGATTTAAATTACTACTTTAAAACGAAATAATTCAAATTGAAAATAGAAACAATTTCTTTATGTAATCCGTGCATTTTTCTCTAAAAGCACGCCCAATGAGGAAATGGCAAGTCATTTTTTTCATCACCATAATTGATGGATATCTAAAATATAAAAATAAGGAAAAGCCTAAAACAGGCCCGATTATAATTTGTGTTTTATTTTATTATTCTGTACAATTAAAAAATAAAACACAAATTATAATGGCATATATGTAAAACTTTGTCCTATAATTGTATAGCTGTTTATATTTTCAGTTTTTTTTGTTGCTCTGTTCTGTATACCTTCAAATTTAAAGGATTTGCTTCAACGCAATTTTGTCTGATAGGCTATGTGAATTATTTATTAGCCTATTTTTTTTTTATCCATGCAGCAAATGCTTTAAAAACATCTTTAAAAATTACTTTATTACATTCCAGATGCTTTTAAAGTACTTTTCACTATACATTTTACAGGTAGCTTGAATGTAAAACATTGTCATGAATTTATTGTATTCCCATTTGTAAAATAGCCAACAAATTAATTTTTGTAGGCTAACCCGATCTCATGAAAGTGCGTATAGCATGATTCTCTGCTTCTATTTGGCATAATATTTAAATGCAGAAATTGACTTTGGCATGCAAAAGACTGATAAATTCATAATTAATGGCAATATCTGATTCAGTCGACAGAAATACGGGACACACAGGCCTATAATAACCACTGAAATGTTTGCTGGGCAAATCTCAGATCAGTCTGAGCGCTCATGGTACGCACAGTGCGTATAGCCTTACACCTGCAGGCGCCGCTGGCTAGAATTAAGGGATCTAAAATATGGTCATGCAGATTAAGGCAGTAAAATGTGCTTTATAAGTACTAATATACAGCCAATATGCTAGTAATATGCATGCTAATAAGCAACTAGTTAATGGTGAGAACTGGACCTTAAAATAAAGTGCAACTGATTTTATTTTAATTGAAATATTTTTTATAAACATTTTTATATATTAAAAACTATTTTAATGTAGACAAATATTTGACACTGAAAAAAATATTTGGACACTTAAGACATGTCAAAATAAATTTCTGTAAATTGTACAGTTTACATGATTAAACAAAGATATACTGTTGAAGTTATTTGAGTATGTTTTACAAGAAAATACTATTTAATAGATTTTTTACGTATTTGCTTATTCATTTATTTGAATTCAGTGTTACTTGCTGTGTCTTTGTAATTGTTGGTGAAACTTACCTGCAATTTCTGAGTGAAAATTGTTTCTTCACTAAATTTGTTTCAGTGAGGTTACTCTGCTAGACTACTTAGTGCACTCAAGATACCTTTTGAATCTGATGTACTGTATATATGAATAAAATTGTTTAATGAATTGTTTTAATTGATTTGATTCTCTGGAAGGGTTACACTGAGCTAGACTCAACCTCAGACCTGTATCATAACATCTTGAGAGCAACTTACAGCCGAATTATCCATCTGTCTGTGTATTACACGAACAATTCCCTTCAGCCACCTCACGCTTTCTGTTTCATTGGGCTGTAAAGAACCTGTGTTTTATGAGATATGTTCAATACGACCTGCTGTTGGCTGAGTATATTAACACCGAACAAGGGCACAAATTTACAGAGGAGCTACGCTAAAGGCAATAGATGATATTTTAAAAGCCCCTTTAATAAAAGGCCTGCCATCAATTTCTAATGCCCTTTCATTTATAGAAAAACCTATCAATTTAAAACAAACAAAAAATGTATCTAACTGTCAAACTGGTAGGTATGCAAAGCTAAGACTGGACTTAAGAACACAATTAAATGTTAAAGGTGAATTTCTTTAATGCTTAAAATTCTGGCTCAACTAATGACATGAGTTGAAGCAGAAATACCTGTTTGTCCAAACAGTGGCTGAAGAGGGTTTAAACATTTCAGTCAGCGTGTACAGTAAATTGGCAGCTGCAAAAGCAAAACTCAGGTTGTAACTCTCTATTATAATCCATAACATGTAAACTTGTGCTTGGCAGTATATTACACCAGGCTGCTCTGCCACACCTCAGCGGTGCTGTGTGATTTACTGACCCAACATGAAATCATAAACATGATAGCATATTAAATCAAAACTAGGCTGCTGGAAAACATAAAAATATGTCAGTATAACCAATCCTTTGACATGAAATAAAACAACACGCATGAAAGTCTAAGGAAACCTATGTATATTTGCATACTGTTACTGCATGTCCTTGTCCTGTACAAGATATCGCATGCAGGATTGTTTTTCTTTGACATATTATTTAAAAAAAACAATTAAGTCCAAACATTCATACTGCCATAAGTGTGTGTGAGCCAGTAGTGTCTTAAAGCGATAGTTGACCTAAATATGATAATTCTGTCATTATTTACTGTACTCATCTTCATGTTGCTCCAAATCTGTATGACTTTATTTCTTCTGTGGAACATAAAGACAGATTTTGCAAGCTGCTTTTTCCAAAAATTGTACGGTAACAAATATACAGTACACAACTGTTTAAAAGTTTGGGGTCAGTAAGTTTGTTTTGTTTTTTCTTAAGAAATTAATACTTTTATTCAGCAAGGATGCATTAAATTGATCAGAAGTGACAGAAAATACATTTATAGAGTTACAAAAAAAATGTGCTTCATATAAACGCTGTTGTTTTGAACTTTCTATTCATTAAAAAAATCATTTAAAAATGTAAATGGTGTCCACAAAGCAGCAGAACTATTTTCAGCATTGATAATAGTAAGAAATGTTTGTTGGTCAGCAAATCAGCATATTAGAATGAATTCTAAAGGATCATGTAACACTGAAGACTGGAGTAATGATGCTGAAAATTCAGCTTTGTATCACTGAAATAAATTACATTATACATTTTGATTTTGGTTGCACTGTCCCTTTAAGTGACTACCGTATACTGTATATAGTATTTTTTTCCTATAGATGACCAATGTTCTGTATAATTATTTTAATTCAGAATTACTGTAAGTTATATTTTGACATCTGAAAAGTTTCATCATTGCATCTGCACGTCTCTCATGTGGATTTTCTGGAGTGATATTTGGTTTGAATGCAGATTTGCTTCTCCTGACTGTTTTGTTGCCTGTGGTCAGTGGACAGTCATGGATGTGTGTGTGTGTGTGTGTGTGTTTGTGTGTGAGTCAGAGTGTTTAGAGGGCATTCTGAATCACTATACTATGCATGCATGAAAAGCTTTTAGGCAGCGGGCCTGCCAGGCACCCAGCTGTCAATTTATTTGATTTGATTTGAATTGTGGAATGGGGTTATGAAGTGTGAAACGTCAGGGATAAAATGTTTTGATTACCCCCATACACTGTGGCCATCAATTTCCATCAGTCTCCTCTAAGATATGGAAGGTTTGTGCATCTTGGCATGAAAATGTTATCTGTAACCTAGTTTAGTAAATGTTTCTGGGCGTGTTAATTGTTAGCTGGATGTTGTTTTCAAAAATTTAAATTTTTACAGCCTCGTAAAAGTGTTTTAATAAGTGGCTTGTATTTACAGCGCAGTGCACTGAATATGCTTGTTATTCATTGTATTCTTAATATAATATTTGGGTTGCATTTCTAGTCACTGAAATTATCTCAAATATTTGGAGAGAACATCTGAATGCAGAAAAGCCAAAATAACTAAAAGAAATCCAGTAAAACAATTTGTTCAGCGTCAAATTGCTTTTCCTGTTTCAAAAGGATGATGTTATTTAGAATTATAATGTTTAAAGGAAAAAATGAACCCCAAAATGAAATATGTTATTTGCTCACACTCTGTTCCAAACTTGTATGACTTTCTCCTTTCAATGAAACAGAAATGAACTGAAAGCACTGGCCAATATATATATATATATATATATATATGTATTGCTTATTTATTATTTATTTAGTGCTTCTTGCGTTTAAGTCGTGCAAGTCTTTTGAAATCATACTGTTGCATGGGCTTTGTGTGAAGAACAGACTGAAATTTAAGTCGCCAATCATTGAAAATGCATGCAATCTTGGTATGAAAAGACAGGTTTGACAGTGAAACAAAACTGTGGAGCATTTAAATTATTTTATTTCTTTGAAAACAACATCCTTTAATCAATATATGCTTTTATTGAATGTAAAAGACAGCATGAACATTCATCAAAACTCTCCTTCAATTTTTTCTGGATTTAAGATGAGTTAATGGCAAATAAACTATGACGTAACTGTCTCTCTGTGTCTCTATTGAATCTACTGAACCCTTGATGGAGTTATCATTGTAAAAATCTATCGGCCGCTTCTCTTTCATTAGATCACCTATAAGGCTCTTGGCTCCCTGGACCCCAGCGCAGATTTGACAACACAGCGTGGCCGGGTCTTCAAACTCCAAAATGAAACCCATCATCTCTTCGTAGGGTTGTATCCTGGCACCACGTACTACTTTACTCTGAAAGCCAGCACAAACAAAGGCTTCGGCCCACCCGTGACCACCCGTATTGCCACCAAAATCGCAGGTAAGGGAACAGCATGGTTTCAGCTAAGGGTTCAGCTAAGATTGTCGGATATTTTTCAAAAGTGTAATGATAATTAAACACAATTATAGTAAAACAGACCCTCAAGTTCCATTTTCATTTGTACTTTATGGATATAGATGTCGGATTGATGTTGGACAGACTGATGATAATGTATGAAATTATTTCTGGGAACATGAACTGACAGGGTTAAATAAGCTTAATTTGATTGCTTCCCTAATTACCACTTAAATTTCCAAAATTTGCATAATTAGTTTTGTCATTTTGACTTTTTTGTGTCTTAAAGAAGCTTTGCTGGAGCAAAAATCTCATTAGCGAGTTATTGGCATAAATATAGTTGGAATACAGTTAATGTAAAGTGAACAAAATAATGAGAACATGAATCATAAACAACATCCTCCACAAGTTCAGCCCCATTTCTGTGGCCTGCGGCTGTCAGTTCGTTCCGTTTCATAATGACGTGGCATTTGTGCAGCACGCCAGACACCGTTTATTAAAACCGTATTGTTCACTGAATCTAAACATTGTAATGAGAGATTGACATTTTCAATGTGATTACATAGTAATGATCGTTTTGAATCAGGCTTCAAAACTGTCTGCTTTCTCGTAAGAGTCAATACTGTGAAATGTATTTTTTACAAAAACATGAATATTAATTATGCATAATATTAAAACATGTTTTTGTGTGTTTGAAAGGCAGCTGAGTTCCAAGTTCAATACAAGCTAAACTCTGTTCATCTGTAACATGCTGTCAATTGCCGCAGACAACAATTTTGGCATCTCCCCCAGTTTATAATACATGCAAGAAGTGTTTACAGTATAAGGGAAACAGGTCAATAATTTAGCTCAAAGGGAATCATTTAAGATTTTAAAGGGAACTCCACCATTAATATGCAAGGGAATTAGGACAGAATCACTGTTTTACGGCGGATCCCTGAGACGGCCAGCGATTCAGTGAACGAGCCGTATGACAGCAATTCTGCAATGGATATCTATATCCAAAATATAGTGAAAACACTATTAATTAGCATAGTAACAAGATCGGCAGTTTAAGACATTAACTTGTGAGCACAAAACACAAGATACTTCTCTTTTCCATATAAATAAGGCTTTATTGGATAAATCTAAGACATATAAACTAATCTAACACACGCATTCACACACAAGTTGCAGAAAGAGAGAAAGTGAGGAAAATAATTAGTTTAAGAGAATGAAAATGTGAAATCCCAAGTTTACAGCAATATGTGCAATTGTATAGATCTGAACAACCATCAATCACTTAATTAACCCTCGCACTGAATTCCTCAATGAGGTTAAAATTTAGATTAACTACACCAGTTCAGCAGAATCTGGAGGTACTTGCTTTCTGTGTTGCGGGATTCCCTTTCTTGTCTGGTTGCTGAAAGGGGTTTCCCGAGGTTGCTGATTGGCTGGAGGTTAAGTCTTGGGAAGCCAGTGATTGGGCGTTGGCTGGCGACGCGGAGCTGTGGTCTGCAGTTGAAGGGTAGACAGCACTCATGCGGCGTTAGGCTTAACTCAGAACACGAAACTCTCAACGGAAAATAAAACAAACTAAAGAAATAGAAATAGATGTAAAGTTTGATGAGACCAGGTGGCGTTTCTTCTCATGGTTTTGGAGGAGCTGGCGTGTAAGCCAGACCACGCTCAAAACTAAAGAAGCATGACTAGGAGTGAAAAGCTAAAAGCCGCATGGCTAAAAGCTAGACACAAAAAGTCAGACCCGCAAAAAGGCAAAAGGCAAAAGACCAAAAAGCGCTAGTTTGATGGTGTCCTGAGTATTTAAACCAGGCTGTTTAACACACCCAAATGGTGTTTCGACCAATTGTAGCTCGGGGTGTTGCAATGTTTCTCCTTCCCATTCATAAATCAACTGTTATCTCATCATTCACATGACCTGCGTTTTTCCCGCTCTGGTAGAGTATGATTTTGGACATGATTTCTATCACGAGGATATGATACATTTGACCAAGAATTGACTGGGAGAAACGTTTCAAGCATGAAAATTCAAACTCACACATACCAAGCATGAATATGACCCCTTAAGCTATTCAATAGTTATTCAAAATACATTCACAATAAATAAGGCATGATGGTTAAACATGTGGGTTATATACATGATATGGGGTTAGATATATAGCAATGGTTAGTTGCTCGAGTCCTTTTAGTGTCATTTAGATGCATCTTCACATGGAAATGAAGTTTCTTTGGCATTCTGTGGACGTAAGGAGACCAGAGATTAAAATGTCTGTAAGGAATTTTAGTCTGTCTGTTCTTGTCGTGAAGTGGGGGAAGTCAATTTACGAGGAGCTTGTGACTGTAGTTACTATCGTGTGATAGTCATGCGGTCATCTCTTTTGACCATTATTCTTGATAACTTGCCCCAAAATTTTACAATCTCCTTGGACTTGTCAATGTGTTCTTTTGTGTTAATGTTGAAAACTGTTCTGTGACAGGGGCTTAGGTTTAGGCTTGCTTCAGAGAGGCTAGGGTCTGATTTATGACATCCTGTTGTCTTGGGCCTCTGTGGAATTTTTGTGACTCCTCGTGCCTCAACTCGGTTTTGACCAAATCTTAGATTGTCTGATTCGGTCTGATATCCTACAACAGTAATGCACTTTCATTTCAAAGTTTTAATACTATGCACAGAAATATTGGTCATTTTATTCTTGCAAATGCAATTCATTCATACTTATGTTACTTAAATCGATAAAAAAGTGCAAAGCTTTTTAGACATCCACTAGGTCTGCTATGCTATACAGTGCGTGCTTTCTTTATATTCTGATAGTCGGTGTCCTTTAACACGAATCTATGTGTCTGCAGCTCCATCCATGCCTGAATATGAGACCGACTCTCCTCTCAATGAGACGGACACGACAATCACCATCCTCTTAAAACCTGCCCAATCACGAGGGGCCCCTGTCAGGTGAGCATTCATCTCATGCCACTGGCCTGTTTAAAGTATTTTACTTATTTGTTTTACATTGAAGAACTGAAAAAATGTAAAAGAAATGTGCACCTTGAATGCAAGCTTAGTCGCTTTGGATAAAAGCGTCTGTCAAATAAATAAAAGTAAATGTGATTGATGTTGAGAATGTTTGCATTTGTGACTATCTAAGAAAGTACTGGTCAGGTGTGCTCTTTTGACACTTTTATTCAAGGGAGAATATAGAGAGGACCGATATAATGAGGGACTTTAAAATCCTAATTGGCTGTTATCAGTTGACTGAGATTAGGAGCCTGAAAGTTTGTCCCCTTGAGCTCACTGGACCTCAACATCAGCTGTAAAGATTTAAGTACTTGTTCACATGCTGATTGTGTCAAACTAAAAAAAAAAACACTTTATTTCCATAGTCCACTTTAGACATTATACTAGGTATAAGTAACTTTGCAACTACATGTCAACTATCAGTTATTACAGTATTAGTGGACAGTCTGCTTAATACCTGTTTGAAAGAAGAGACATCATTAGACACCATTTTGGTGTCCACATCAAATTAAATTTACAAAAGTGATTTTATATACATACAGAAAGCAAGTAAAGCATCTGCTTTACTGTTTCAAATAACTGGTAAAATAATGTCAAATGTAAAAATATGGGTGAAATAATGTTCTATCGTCATTCATCTTAACAGATATATTTCTGTAAAAATGAAACAATATACTTGACCTGTAATATGCCCTGTATTTATTAAAATAAGTAAAATAATAAGTGATCATACTAAATATTATGTTTTAAAAAGCTTCTTTCTGACAAATGGGTAAAACCTATTGCACTGTGATCCTTAAGTAGAGTCTTATTAATGCCATCTAATGATTCTTGTTCTAAATACTAAATACTATTGTTACACTAAATTATGTTTTAGTGGGTGTCTTCTGTAAATCATAGTAAAAATGTATAATAGTCATTATTTTTTGCTCAGAAAAAAAATCTAATTAAACAGGACACATTCTAATGTACGGTGGTAAAACAAAAACTAAATGTTAAGCTGTATTAAACTTTAATTGTTTTGATGCTTGAAAACCCCTTTTCGTCTTTGACCCATCTGTTAACACTTTATTTTAATAGTTTCCTAACTGACATTCTACTGTAACTTTGCAAGTACCTGTCAGCTTATTCTACTAACCGTAACCCTGTCCTAACTGTCTACTAATACTCTAATGAGAGTTAGTTGACATGTTGTTGCAAAGTTACTTATAGTAAGTAGAATGTGTGAAGTGAACTGTCTGTTTAAAAAAACTGTTTAAAAAAATGGTTTTAAATCTGCAGACAGATGCGAACCACATTAAAAGCCAAGAAGACACCAAATTACCCATGATCCCTCTCTTCAATCATCCAAGAGGTGTCTAGTGCATCGTCTGAATGAAGAAGTGCATTACTGTTGATTCACTCGGGGTCCTGAGGGTTTTTAAATGCAGTCATTCAAATAAGCATCATTTGTATGCTAAGCCTTCGAGGGGATCCTGGTCCATTTGGCTGTGTTTTGGCACCCAAACAAAGCCCTTCTCTGTGTGGAAATTCAGTATGTGAATGTGCAACAGATTTTGGCAAATTCTCGAAATTGCAAGTCGACTCTGACTTGGAAGAACAGCAGAGCTGGTGTGCAATGGTAGCCCATCAGTAATTATGACAATTATTTTGTTGCATGGACTGTTCTGAGTTGTGTTATTTTAGTATCATTGAACTACTATTAAAGTTTCTATTAATATTTTAAATCAGTTTTTATTTTTTATTTTCATTTTAATTTTAAAGTTTTAATTTTATTTTTTTTATAGTTTGTTTTTTGTATACTTTTCTATAGTTTTTATTCATTTTTATTTCAGTTTTAGTTTTAGTTATTTTCCACATCAAGTTGAGTTTCAGTGAGAAATGTTGCCTTTGCAACTATCTTAAATAAAAAAGTGTTTTATATTATTTTATTTTATTTTATTTCAAGTAATAAACATTTTTTTTATGGTTTTAATTTGAGTTTTAATTAACTATAATAACCCTAGTATTAGGATTTGGCAAGACAACACAAGATAACATAAGATTCAAATAATTATATTGTATTATATTATATTAATAAATTCTTTAGGCAATTTTATTAATGTTTGCATATTTATATTTAATATATTTAAGGGTAAACCAAAATGCACTGATGTATGTTTTATTCTAAACAAGTAGAAAACTGTTTTTCCATTGTTAGTTTGCTCTATAATGCGTACGACCCTGGCAATCCATAAGCGTCTTTATAAAAAATATGCAACTGAAAATTTTTTATAATTACAGCAGCTTTCGACCAGGGTTACAGCGGACACACAACACACGACATCCAGTGTGCACTTAAAGCCATTAGTTTGAAATGAAGATCCAGTGTGTTTGAAAGAGAAGAGCAGGCAGGCCTCTTTGGTCATGGGAAATTATCCTTTATGAAAGATGCCAGATTAGAGGCTTCTTTTCGGCGAAACATACATTTCCCTAATTGCACATAATTGGGAAGTATGTTCTTGGCGTAAGACCACATAATTGCAAACAAGTACTATTAGCACTGGGAGCTCAAAAGATGTCCTTATCTATTCACCGTGTTTTGAAACACACACATGCCCCTCTCCAGGCCTTCCCCACGACGAGCACTTTCAAAAAGCCTCATGTGCACAAATCCGCCACCTCCCCTCCAGCTAATTACCGTAGTGGAGATTTCCCTCTGCTGGCTCGCTACTGCATCGCTTGCCTCGTCGTTTTCTCTCAAGAGGAGAAGCAGCTGTGTATTTTTGGGTCTCATGCAGGTTTAAAGAGTTTTTTTTATTCCAAGAAAAGAGTGTAATAGAGATGTTTAGCAGCTAGTTGTTAGCGTTAGAGAGTTCTTGGTGGCTGACAAGGCCTTCTGTGATTCTTAGAAAGCTACAGGAAGAGATGTTCTTGATGGTTTTAATGGCTCGTTAAATTGCCTCGGGCACAGCTCCCTCTCTCTTTTTTGGATGTGCCATCGCTAGCTGAAGATATTTCAAATCATGAGGCTGCAGTATAAGCGGCTAATGCTAAAACATGCACTGTAAAAAATTATTGTGATTTTAACAGTAAAAGACTGTAAAAATGCTACAGTAAAAACCTGTTAACTGGTTAACAGTAAGTTTCCATACTATATTCGGTGAATAAATGTAATTACATTTAATGTAATTTTACAGTAAAATACTGTTAAAAATACGTTTTTTGGAAGTGAAAAAGTCATAATTTACAGTGACAAACCGTAAATTGACACTCCCAGAATTCCCTGCATGACACTTCATATTTGATTTTTTTTGTTGAAATAACATGTTTCTTCTTAGTTCTTTCTTATCAGGTGTGTACATTAGGGTTTAATCTTACATCTAATGTTGTTAAATTAATGTTTATTGCATTATTTCAGTATCATGTGTGTCACTATGATGGGGTTTAGGTTCATCATGTGACTTTCTCATCACCACCAGTCTTTGGTGGTTATCAGAGCATTACAATGGTTCAAAACAGATATTAGTACTTCAATATGTTGGTTTATTAAGATTAGATCAGTTAATGATATACAGTATTTTATTGTGAATTTAAGATAAGTCTGTAAAACCTAAAAGGTTGCTACCATATTTTTTACGGTGAAGTTCTGGCAATCACAGCTGCCGGTATTTTACTGTAAATGTCACCGATTTTTTTTTACAGTGTGTGCTTAAATATTAAAATGGACACTTTTTACATTTCCTAATACATTAGGCTAGTTTTATAGTTATGAGCACTATTCATCAGTGCTTGTTGTACTTAAGAAAAAAGGTTGTTATTATAATTCCCAGTAGAATAAATCAAGCCCCGTCCTACAGTTTTCTCACTGAATATGATGTTTTCCTCACATTACAGAAATCAAAATTATTATAAACTTGCTTCATGTCGACTTAAATAAAAATGTATTGGAATTGAGCCTCTTCATCAATTTTTGTGAGGCCTCATCCGAGAACTACAATAATGACATATTAGGTACATTGGTTTTGATATTTAGTACACTAATTAATCTTTTTTCCCCCTCTAGTGCTTATCAAGTGGTGGTTCAAGAGAAACGAAAGCAGAAAGTTCGCCGAGCCACTGATGTGTTGGAGTGTTTCTCCATTCCTGTTAGCTTCAGAAACGCCTCCATCTTGAATTCACCTCACTATTTTGCGGCTGAACTCCCCCCTGTTAGCCTTGCTGTAGTACAGCCCTTTACTATAGGAGACAACAAGACTTATAATGGCTACTGGAACGCACCACTGTCACCAGCCAAAAGCTACAGCATTTACTTTCAGGCCTTGAGCAAAGCCAACGGGGTGAGTATTTCATTTACTGTTTATTTCATATACCAATCTAATGTTCTCGATAACGGTTGACACTTAAGTATTGATTGGTAAATCTCCCAAAACCTGGCTGGGTCATATTTCACCCCAAAATCAAACTGAATGAAAAAATAAAAAAAATATTAAAAAGTATATTTTGCACAGGAAAATGTAACATTTTAATCTTCATGACAAACATATTTTCCCCCAATTACCATCATGATAATCATTAAAGAGTGACACCCAAAAATTCTTATATATTTTTTTAACGTATATTATTTACTAATGTATGTTTCATACTAACAAATGCTGTGAAGCATGACCATCCAAAAAACTAATGCAAGTGCATGTCAAAAAATATAAAGCAAAATCACACTGCTGGCGCACTATTACCATTTTAAATTAATAATATTTTTATCCTAATATATAACTGTATTTTTTTTTTTACTATCAAAAAGTTAAACATAATAGGAATCAAAATAAGAACCATTATTGACAATAATGTGAATTATAAAAATAAATAAAAAAACACTCATTATGATAATGGTGGGAAATTTCAGATTGTTCTTTATTCATATTATTATTAGTAGTATTAGGGTTGCAAAAAAGTGGAACATTTCCAGTAAATTTTGGAAATATTCCAGAAATTTTTTAAACTTTCCAGGATTTTTTGGAATATTCCAGGGATTTTTGGAAAGTTTCCGGAAATGTTCCACCCCTTTGCAACCCTAATTAGTATTATTATATTGTAAGATTCAACCTTAAACAAGCAATCTTTACAATTGAGAAGTCTTTGAAGAAAAAAACAAACTGATATCACGTTTCGAAGCATAAAGCTGTACGTCGACAAGTCTAAAAGTACACAGAACATAACCTTTGCTCTATATCATCCAAAATTACAAGGCTGTCCTAGAAATGGGTAGATATATTAATGCATAGTTATATATATATTCACGTATTAGCCTTTAAGCAGGCATAATGCGCTCAGCAAAGGCTCCATTTAGGCCTGCTGCATTGCTCTGCGTTTTGAAGTATGTGGTTCCCGATTTGATTGGATTTGATTCAATTCAATCTCTCAGTCTCAGGCGGCTGGAGAAAAGCACTCAAAAACAACCTCAGACCATGACCCAGATAATTTGATTGGATATTCATGCATAAAATATGGATTTAGGTTGGTAGTTCAGATTTGTTTTCAACTTACCTTGTTTCCAAGTGTGTTCGAGGAGCGCTCGGTGTAAATGTGTGCCATTCGATTTTTTTTTCATTTCCACGGTGCAAGGTAACAAATAAATTCACAATGCAGTTCAGTGCAGAGATTACCCATCATATTGATAGCTATTCAAACCGGCTTTATGTAGCATTTGTCATTAGTAGAATCATGTATTGAGTTGACGCATTCTGTGCAGTTTTGTAATTATATTTATGCAAGAAAATACAAAACGATATCACTGCTTTATACAGTGGCTTAAAAATGTCATAACAAAAATGATAATAACAAATTATCACAAGTGTAGACAAGTGTACATTTCAAGTTTGTTTTAGTTTGTATTATCTAATAAAGACTTTCAGAGATATTTAAGACTCACTCGAGCATCCAAGTACTTGTAGGCGCCACTGTAAAAGTTATTAAACAAAACCAAAAACCAAAAACATTGTACAAACTCTCTAATGAACTACCTTTGCTTCATAATGTCAGAATGAGCAGGCAACTGTAGTCCACATTAAATTTGCTAGTCATCATTATCACTTTCCATGGAGTTGAAATGCCAGCATGACTTTTAAAGGCCTTTTCAGATGAAGTGTGTAATTTTGGGGGTGTTAAAATACTTTTAAAGCCAGTCATAGGTTGATTCTCCCGAAAAGAGCCCATCTTCTGTTGACATAGCAAAAATGACACACATTACCTTTAAAGACAGAAACACTGCTGTTTCTTGATCTCTCCATGTAGCAGCAGTCCATAAACGACAGCATCTCAGAGCGCCACTGCCCACAGAGTTTCTCCTGGCACTGCTAATAGCACCAGGTCACTTTTGATAGACTTTATCACATCAGTCTTGCCAGAGAAAGCGAGAGAGAGGGACAGTCAGGGGAATAGTGGTCTCAAACTGCTCTAAGCTAATTTAGGATTCCTCCACTCGCTTTTGTCCCTCCGGTGTGTTTGTGAACAGGGCCGCAGACGCTCGGGCCAAAAGAGCAAGTAATTGCCGCTGCAGGCGTCTTTTGTTCTGAAAGAGGGATACGGAGTTGTGAAGAGGCACTCACTCGTTTAAGTGGCTGAACCCACACTAGACAGAAATTGAAACAGACGCATGCAGCTTTTAACAAAATGGAACCCGCAAAGCGTGTCCTGTCTTTGGTGTGAAGCAGGTAAAAGAACAAGTTTGCAGCACATCGTTTCCACTGACGTGTAGCTCTAATAGGAACACACAGCTTGCATTTAAAAGTCGCGACCTGTCAAAGGTGAATTCACTGTTTTGTTGGAGTGAGCAGCTATTATTGGACAACTTGATTAAAAAAATAACCAAGCAAAAAAAGTGTGTAAAACATTTTCCCCTTGGTCTAGTGTTAAATGGTCAGTTGGCAGGTCACACAAATAATGAAGAAATATTTAAGAATCTGCACTATTTCTAGATCAAATTGTCAGAAAAGGTCAGATTTTCCTTTATTCTACTGAAGCACAAGATGCTCTAATAATAATAATAATAATAATTGTATTTATTGGTTAGTTCATTTTTATTTTATTTAGTATTATTAACAACAACAGTAATAATAATAATAATAAACAATGTTGTTTATTTATTGGTTAGTTACATTTTTTATTTTATTTTAATAGTAGCTTTTTCACTAGCTCTCTTTCACCTTTGGATCCAATCGTGTATACATTTGAAACTAAAATCTTGGTGAACTACCCAAACTGTGTGCCTTGGTGCATTCAAACACTGCAGAGTTTTCATTTGGTCAGTGCAATGAAATTTAAGCAGTATTCATATATTCATGAATATGATTAATTGCTTCCTAATTGCATAAATGAAACGGGAATAGCCTTAATCATGGGTTAATTAGTGTATAACCCTCTTCCTGTTGTTCTGTATAGCGTCTGATAGCATTGATACTCTTGGTCGGGGACAAAACATTTCTCTCACTGCAGTCGGGAGTGTTTTTGAAGCGTCTCGTACTTCTTTCACACGTTTTTGAGAATCTCTTGCCGTTTCTTTCTTCATTTACACCTAACGCTGCAGTCAGCTGTCATGCTTTCCTTTGTTCTTTAAGAAAAATAGAGTGCTCTCTGTATGAATGAAAACACTATAGACAGCAAAAGCAGCTTGTCATTGTTTTCTGTTTAGTTTTTTTTAGTTTCTTTTGCCTAATCCTCCAGCTAATACTTCGCCAGACTGGAGGTGTTACTCTCGAAAGCAACATCTCCTGAAATAGTAGCGCCGCTGTCTCAAATACCTCCAGATGACTGGCTGATGCCACTTTTCTTTTGTTATTTTGTGCTGCATGTTTCTTTTATTCATTTTCACTGGAGCGTTTTTCCTCCTGAGCCCCTAATGTGTAGATGATTGAATAGCCTTAATCATGGGTTAATTAGTGTATAACCCTCTTCCTGTTGTTCTGTATAGCGTCTGATAGCATTGATACTCTTGGTCGGGGACAAAACATTTCTCTCACTGCAGTCGGGAGTGTTTTTGAAGCGTCTCGTACTTCTTTCACACGTTTTTGAGAATCTCTTGCCGTTTCTTTCTTCATTTACACCTAACGCTGCAGTCAGCTGTCATGCTTTCCTTTGTTCTTTAAGAAAAATAGAGTGCTCTCTGTATGAATGAAAACACTATAGACAGCAAAAGCAGCTTGTCATTGTTTTCTGTTTAGTTTTTTTTAGTTTCTTTTGCCTAATCCTCCAGCTAATACTTCGCCAGACTGGAGGTGTTACTCTCGAAAGCAACATCTCCTGAAATAGTAGCGCCGCTGTCTCAAATACCTCCAGATGACTGGCTGATGCCACTTTTCTTTTGTTATTTTGTGCTGCATGTTTTTCCTCCTGAGCCCCTAATGTGTAGATGATTGCCTCAGGAGGTTGTTGTAATCATTCATACCTGTGTTCATAATTCGTAATTATAAGCATCCATTTCACAATCTGTTTAAAACGCTGTAGAAACTGGGTGAACTCTGTTTAAATTTGTTCGTGTCTTTTTATGTCTCCTAGAAAATGTTTTTGATCAGCCTGTTTGTGCGACAGGCAGAATATGATTATGACAAATAAATAGATTTGAAAAAGAAATAAAAAGAAAACAACTACATTTTGTGTTTTCTTCTAAGGAAACACAAATTGGTACTTTGCTGTGCTGACCTCACCACCAGAAGGTGTTTTGGTGGTTTCTAGGATGTTGCTATGTGGTTGCCAGGGTGTTCTGGGTGGTTGCCAGGGTGTTGCTTATTGGCCCAAGTAAAAAAAAAACTGAAGTGTCTCACTGACATTCTGGTCTAAAATTATGGTTGCTAATGGTTGTTGATGTGTTGTTGCTATGGTGTTGTTAGGGGTCAGGAGTCCTGGGTGGTTGCCAGGGTGTTGCTATGTGGTCATTAGGGTTTTCTGGGTAGTTGCTAGGTAGCTGCTTAATGGCCCAAATCAAAAGAGCTCAAGTCTTTCTGACATTCGGGTTCCAAGATATGGTTGCTAATGGTTTGAGTGTTGCTGTGGCGTTGTTAAGGGGACTGCTAAGGACTGCTAAGGAAGTCCTGGGTGGTTGCCAGAGTGTTGCTATGTGGTCATTAGGGTGTTTTGGGTAGTTGCTGGGTAGTTGCTAGGTACTTGCTTACTGGCCCAAGTTAAAATAGTTTTTCTGACGTTCTGGTTTCAAGATATGATTGATAATGATTTGAGTGTTGATATATTGTTACTATGGCGTTGTTAGGGGGTTGGTAGTGAGTTCTGGGTGGTTTCTATGGGGTTTCTAGGAGTTCTTGGTTGTTGCTAGAGTGATGATAAGTGG